TCAGACCTAGTAAAGTAAATCCCAGCTGTACTCATCTCAGTAGTGAGTGCAGTAAAACGTTGCAACTGAGCTTCCAGGGTTTCTCCAGGGATATAATTGAACATACTGAACTTTTGTCTTAACATATCCTGACGACTCTCTTTCATATCTTCATTTCCGTCGTAGACCTCAATCAAAGCTTCCCACAGTGATTTGGCTGAAGTGTATTCTCTGAAGCCTTGAGCAATATCGGGAGATAAAGCCATAGTCAAAGTAGCCAATGCCCTTTCATGTTCTTCAACCTTTTTGAAATCTTCATCAGTGTAATCAGCATACAATTTGTCAATTAATTGTCCATTCGGAAGATTAGTAGTGATTCTGACTGGTCCTTTGAGAATGCTTCGCCAAACCTTAAAATCTTTCATTTTGATGTATTTCTCGATCCTGTATTTCCATTCCGGGAACCCTTCTGCAGATAACAATCGTGGAATGCGAGTGGTTGTTCCCATGATGAAATCCAATTCATGATGAAGTGCTTGACCTTGAGAATCCATTTTTTTTAATTTTTTTTAATTGAAAATGACTTGAAAAAAAAATAAACTAAAATGTCAAACAAACAGTTTGCGGTCACACGATTGCGGCCGTAAACAGGAGTTTACGGTCCACGTTTACGGTTGAGTTTACGGTTGGAAGTTCACGGTTGAGTGGAGTTTACGGTTGAGTGGAGTTTACGGTTGAGTGGAGTTTACGTTGAGGAGAGTTTACGGTTGAGGAGAGTTTACGGTCAATGAAGATTGCCTGTTTACGGTTAATGAAGATTGCCTGTTTACGGTTAATGCAGATTGTCTGTTTACGGTTATGAATAGAAGTTTACGGCCGTAAACCCTTGACCGTAAATGCCCAGATCTTGATGAAAACACGAATTTTAAGCAGATCTGATCCCCTTTTGCCACAAAAACACCAAATCCAGTCGCGAACAGTGATGAAACTAAGCTTCTTTGACCGAAAACGAGATTGAAAGATGATTTGACACCGGATTTTCTCCGATATCAATTGTAAGGTCCTAGAAACAGGATCTTAACCAGTGATCAAGCAATCTAACAATCAAACAAGATAAGAATGGAGTAGAAGAAGATTAAACCAAAGCTTGCACATGTTTATATCAGAAAAACGTCTAGTACAACTTGGACACAATGACCGTAAACACAGAGGACCATCAACAACCACTGATAGACTCAGATACATCCTATATATAGGGAGAAAAGACTTGGCCATAAACAGGTTTACGGCCGTAAACCTGTTTTCTGCCGTAAACACACTCTGGCCGTAAACACACCAAACCACTTCTATTACAAGACCCAAAGCACAATAAGACCTATACATCCAAAAGCCTAGCCCAAACCATTAACTGGACACTTCAGTTCTCAAGTTTCTTGACTCACTAAATGAAAGCTGGGAATGTGGTAAATTATGAGCATTTGATTTGGCATGCAGAATTGTAAGAACACAAAGAACACAGTGATTTGGGTGCTAAAAGTTGCATTCGATTATTATGAGGAGCTTAAAAAAAAGGAACTAGATCTAATCTACATAATTAACTCACTCAAAACTCTCTACGAACTATATCTCTCAAGCACACTCTACAAGTGGTATGCAACCCACTATATAGAGGTTCTAACATGTCCCTCTCTCTCTCTCTCTCTGTCTCTCTCTCTCTCTCTCTCACTCACTCTCATGCCACAATTCTTCAATCCTATATGCAAGTGGTTCTTCTCAAGCCAAGCCTTCACTAGTCATCTAATGGAGAATTTTGTACCCAACATTCTCCCCCTCGAATTTAGGAAATGATGACTCAGCTTCAATCTTCCAAAATTAGCAACTTCACGAACTATGCCTCAAGCGTGAAAAATGTAGAAATGAAAATCAAATCTTCAATTCTTTAGTGACTTTCCAATCCGGGTTCTAGAGTGTGAGACCTTACAAACTGAGCATCAAAAGGAAATTTGGAGTATCCACACCTCCATAATAGATTACCAAAATTTAAGCATAAAAGCACACCCCAAAAATCTTCATTATGTCCAAACCCATAATGAATCGGGAAAATCTAAATCACTTCAGAATCTCAAATCGAATCACTTCATAAACTTTGATTTCTCAAGGTCACTTTGGTTTTCAAATCCGCGTAATATAAAAAATTCACAACTTTCGAATTCTCATATTTAATTCTCTCATCTTTTTTATAATCGAAAAATGATTATAAAATCGAAAAGGAATGAGAAAGCGCTCAATTTGGAATTTTCCATACAAAACTCCCCTTAATACATGGCATAAATGTTTTGCATAAATCCGGAAAATCCAAAAATATCAGAATTTTCGAATTCAATACTTCTCGGACCGCCTTTGACTTAAACTTCAAAAATACGGGTAGAAACTGTCAATTTTGAAATTATGCAGGGACCTGTTGTGGCCAAAACAACCTGAAATGCGAAACTTTACCCCAAATACGATACTGGGCATAAAGTGTCAACTCGCACCAACTACAGATACCTGATTTGAAAATTTTCCCATTTCATAGAATTTTTAGCCCAATGTCGAAACTGGATAAATTCTGCCAACTTGCGTAAACAACAGGTATTCGAAATGGAAATTCAACATTTCTTCACAGTTTTTGACCCCATGTCGAAAGTGGGTGTTTTCTGCCACTTTGTTTAAAGTTCAGGGATTCAATGCAAACATATTTCTTTCTTCCCCACTTCGCTTTCCAGTTACGTTCAATGATGACCTTCACTTTCCAGATGCATTCAATGAACTTCACACGTCGAACATACAATCCATAGATGTGAACGACCCGTTAGACCTCATGTCGAAATGGTGTTCGACATCATACCAATTAGCCAAGTGAATATTGTTCGACCTCCAATCCAATTAACCCATAACTAAACTGATTTCGACCTCAATCCAATCGACCAATAGCAAAGATCTATTTTTGACCACCAAACCGAAACACGATCCAAAGCGAAGACCTGTTCGATCTCTAAACCAAAAATACAATCGTGACCACAAAAGTGAAACCTTATGTTATTCACACATAGAAATAGCCAGGAGCATTCGACATCAAGTTGACTATGAACCCAAACCTTCGTTCTCAATGCCAAAATCAGTCAAAATACGTTTCACTCCAAGAAGTCAACTCCAAATCAAAATGATCAAGTCATTCATAGATGCGAACTGAATTGAGACCCAAAAAGTGAAATCACTTTCTTCACATATCGAACTGGTCTAGCACACATCGAAATCAATTTTGACTCAAGTAAAAGTCTTTGAAGCGAAACCCATTCATCATAACCCACCTGCTTTCGATTTCTTTTCATTATAGGATATTTCGATGCCAATTGTTTTCAACACCACAAATCGAACCTTGAACCTGATTTCGACTCCAAGCAACATATATCGATTCCAAACCTTTCCATTCGACATCAATATTGACCAGAAAGCATTCTATTTCCAAAACACTTTCACAATGCTAACAAGAACCAACTCACTGTGTTCGACACCAAGAACACAAACCCAGTTAATTTGGAAATTAGACTCCAATTAAACACTGTTTTGAAACCAACCAACCCTTGTTTGACTTGTATCAACCAATTTCAACCTTCAATTCATTGAATCGACACTTTGAAAAACTGATTTTGACTTTTTTGAGTTTGACTTGTCGATTTCAATGGTCAACAAACACAAAATTGATGAATCTCACAGCGATTTTTAGATCAAAAAGTGATTATTCAGTTGTTCTTCATCACCTTCAACTGTTTTTGAACAAGTTTTTCAAAGCCAAAATATTGATTGACAATTTCTCAACATCAACTTTATCATAATCGATTTGTAATAGAACAAATCAAATCTAATCGAATCACAAGTCTACATTCAAGAATAACTCTAATTCATTAACAAAAACGTTGAAACGAAAACAAAATGCATATTACGAACAAATTCGAACATTAGAATGTACAACCAAGTAAGTATATGATGAACCAGTGGAATTTAGAGTCAAACATTGAAATCGATGTATAGTAATCAGGCATGGACTATTAGGCTGAAACTTAATCCATGATCGATAACAGTTTCGAAATATGTGGGCTCAATATGGATTAACAAACAATCAACAATAATGCATTCATTTTTGGGCTTGAGATTAACAATAAATAATTCAATTCACTTTTGGGCGAGATGTTGATTAAAAAGAATATTTTCAAATGAGAATTGAATCAAACAAATAAATATTGGATTGGATTGGGCTTGATCAATTAAAAAATTTATTGGATCATAACAATTGGGTTTTTTTTTAAAATTTGATCCAATGAGTCAAAATAATCAAAAATTCAATAACGCAAGGACGAATGAAAGATATTTTTAGAGATCATTGAGAGAGTCACCATTAACGTTCCAGTTGTGTTAAATGTAGCCAAATCGAGAACCGTTTTGTCAAAAATCGCTTTGATCTTCGAATACCCGCTCTGATACCAAATGTAGTGAATTATGAGTATTTGATATGGCATGCGGAATTGTAAGAACACAAAGAACACGGTGATTTGGATGCTAAACGATGCATTCGATTATCAGGAGGAGTTTACAAAAAAAGAACTAGATCTAGTCTACATAATTAACTTACTCAAAACTCTCTATGAACTACATCTCTCAAGCACACTCTACAAGTGGTATGCAAACTACTATATATAGAGGTGCTAACATCTCTCTCTCTCTCTTTCTCTCTCTCTCTCTCTCTCACTCTCATGTCACAAGGCATCAATCCCATATGCAAGTGGGTCTTCTCAAGCCAAGCCTTCACTAGTCATCTAATGGAGAACTTTATACCCAATATGGAATATCATGTTGATGTTTTAAAGAACAGTGAGAAGATCACAACCATGAATCTATCTTCATTGTTTGACAATCTTTATAATCATGATGAAGCGAAGGTTTTGTTTAAGAAAATTATGCAAGACACTCATAGGGACAGATCCATGGCCCTCTATTCAAAGAAGTCACCCCCAAAAAGTGACATCGACTTTTCTGATGAATTCGAAGGTGAATCCTTGACAGTCAAACACTATATTATCCAAATTGACAAGAAACAATCTAGACCCAGAAGGTTTCCACAAAATTTTGACTCATCAACGTCTAAGGGCTATGACGTTGGTAGGAAGATTGTTATTGAGAAGAAGGAAGGACGAAAGTGCTTCAATTATGGAGGAACTGATCACTTCTCTAGGGAGTGCAAGTCCAAGAAGGTGGACGTGAATGAAGATTACGAGGTGAAGTACAAGAATCTGTTGAAATCATTGGAAAGGAATCACATTGATGTGAAACTTTTGGTAGCAGAAGTTAAAAGATGGGTAGATGAAGAAGAATCATATGATGAAGATGAAGGAAAGGACAAGTGTTTGATGTCATACACTGATGTGTTTGTCACTATTGAAGGAAGCAACAGTTTGAGTTCTTTTGAAGCTGATCTAGCTAAAGTTGCTAAAGATTCAAAGACGATGGACTGGGACTCGTCATCTTTATATCAAGTAAACAAAATTTTCATATATTATAATAACAAAAAATGCATGTTTGTTAATTACTTGTGTCAAATTTTAACAAGAAAAACACTCACTTAGGCTAGAAATTGAGACTCTCACAAATAAATTAATAAACAATGAGAAAATTCTTGCTTTAACAAACATTAATGTCACGAATCTATCTCTTACAAATATTGATCTTCACACTAAAAAGGATAACGTTGAATTGCATGCAAATAAGTTACAAGGTATAGTTAATAATTGGGCCCACTCTCATCTTAAGCTAAACAAGATAATAGATGTCCAGATACCTGATCATTATGAGAAAATCCTTGGTGGAATATAGATGAGGTCGTATAAGCTCATAAACAGATTAAAATTGTACCTAATTTTTATAGCCTTAGTAATATGTACATAAACCAAACTCTCATAGAGAAACATTGCATAACAAACCCTGATGGTCTCACTGTATGTACTACCCGCTTAATTGCCTTAAATCTTATTGTTAGAAATCATGCTTTTGATATTCCAAATCCTACCACTAACATGTGTCTTAAATTTCCTATATCCAATGGTGAATTCTACCCCAAAAATGAAATACTTAGTGTATATCTAAATTGTACTGTTAGCAATTATGACATTGATGATTACTTCATCGGACACTGATGAATCTTTGTAAACATCAGCGTGTCAGTCATCTATCTTCACATCCTCTCACACTAATAGATCCTTTATTTCTAGAGCCTTTTCAAAATTTCATAAGATACATGAAAAAGTTTCATCTCCCTAGAATCCTACAAATACCAACTCATGTAATAAAAATAAAAATCATGGTATAAAGGTTTTCTATCGATGTGGAGATACATATCATAAAAACAGTGACTATACATTTAGAGAGAATACTAAAAGAGTTGACAATTGTGACAACCCGAAATTTCTATCTTGTAAAGTCGTTCAATTCAATCAAAAGTCAAACTTGTTTCTGCTATCTTTTAGCATTGTTAAGGGACTGTTTGAGTGTTCTAAGCCTAGTACATTCAAGGATTAGGTGTTAGGAAGTATCTACCAGAGTTCATTGTGCAGCATTCAAGCCGGAAAACCCCATCACTTGGAGTTTACGGCCGTAAACTAGAGCTTACGGCCGTAAGCTCTTGTTTGGCCGTGAACTCCCTCCATAAGAATGATTTTCCTTCATTTTTCTTCACTTATAACACTTACAAGTCAAGAACACTCAATTCTCTCTCAAGTATCATCAAGAACACTTCCATTTCTCGTCAAATTTGTAAGTGATTCTTCCATTTATAAGTTGATATCTTTCTTGGTCTAGTAAAACCCCATGATTTCATATGTGAATTCATCTCTTTTGGGTTAGATCTTCAAGAACACTAAGAACACCAAGAACACACACCACCCCTTCAAGCTTCCAAATCGTAAGTATCATTTCCATATACTTGATATCCATTAGAAGCTCATGTTTAGCATACAAGAAACAACCATTTTAGCAAGAACATCATGAGTCAGTTCATACATGAGTCAGTTCAAACATACAATAACAAGAACAGAAAGGAACATACAATAACAAGAACATAAAGGAACATACGATAACAAGAACAGAAAGGAAGATAATATAACAAGAAACAGAAAGGAACATACATCCTTTTACAAGAACAAGATAACATTAATGTGAATATACTTCACGGCTTAGCAATATACTTGTTAGGTCGCGTTTTTAATCAGAGTCTCCTGGAGGGAGAGCGGACATTGTGTGTATAGATCTATACGGGACTGACAAGCCCGCATCCCGACTGTTCGCTACAGTTTGGCCGGCAAGGCCAAGGGGTGACAAATGTCACATCAGTTTCGGCGCCAGAAGATCGTCGTGTTAAACACTTGTCAATCAGTATGGTTATAACCACATCACATTTTAACCTTAATTAAACAAATTGGTTTTAAGGTAGTTAGTGTTTCAGTAGTTACTTATTACAACATTACTGTACACTGTCATTTTCCCATTACATTCCTATAGTGATCTTCTCACATAAAAAGTAATGTAACTATTTTCTGGTAATCATAGTCATATATTTGGGAAAACACACACTTTTACAAAAGAACAAACATACAGAACAGTCGGGTCTTGGTAGAAGACTACTCTCCATTTTAGTAGAAAATATAGGATTTTCTAGGAAGTATACAAACTTTACATCAAACATTTACAAACTTTACATCAAACATTTACAAACTTTACATCAAACACTTACAAACATTTTCTTCAAACTTATATAAACATTTGACACTAAAATACTTATGAACTCACCAGCTTAAATGCTGATCTACGCTTTCAAAATAACTTGTATTCTCAGGTCACCAGTAGACAGGTACCGATGACCAGGTTTTGAGAAGACAGAGCATATTCAAGACTCGTCTTTTATTTTGATATATATATTTTTGGTGTCTTACAAATACCTTCAGAACACACTTGTATTAAATTATATTATTAATGCAATGGATGATGTTCTTGCTTGTTTTACTATTGTGCATTGTTATGATATTGTAAATGACGTCCTCCGCCCCTGAACGTTTCCGCCGTTCTGGTTTAGGGGTGTGACAGATTGGTATCAGAGCTTTGTTTATAGAGAATTGAGTATATCAACCCATAAAAGACATGCAACTATAAACACATCGGGATTAAAATACTTTGACCAAGAGTTTATACTTTTAAATAATAAAATATTTAACTAAAGTATACATACAAGCATTCATACTAGGATCAGTGTCATACTAGAACAGAACAAAAGTATTGTGGTTGTTGGACAGAACAAGTAGGTTTGGGGACATATAACCAGATCTGGGAGTGATATTGCCTGATCAACTATATCTTTCCGAGAAGTGATTAGCATGTGCCTAGGAATGTTTGTGGTGTTGCAGCAAGTCTAAGAACTTACCAACACTACTACAATGAGAACTTTAGAACAGAACATAAACTTAAAATTCCATAGGAGTATTTTGTGTTACTATAAATTACATAATTGAGAACTAGAAGGTCTTTATTAGTAGGTCAATAGTTTCGGAGTGGATACGCTAAGGTTATATGTGACTAGGGTGTAATAGACTTAGAATCTGTGATCTTTGCTTTATTTCCTGTTCCTTGTTTGGTTGTGGACTTAGAGTTAGGGTCACTTATTCGAAGGTCTATTCTGTTTTGGTCACATATAACTGGTATGCACTACGCAAGTATTGAAGTAACTGATAAGGATCATCCTATCATTATCTTAAGTAGTACGTCTATTAACTATCTCTTTTATCCCTATTCTCGCGTAGATATCATGGCTGGATTCCATCTCCCCGGCGACCCGTACCTCCCCGACCAAGGAAATGATGGATGGCTCGATGCAGAGCCAGAAGAAAATCATGCAATTCCTTTAGATGATGACTTTGTAGAGAACTTCCCGAAGGATTCTGACTCCGAACCAGAAGTCAATGATCTACCCCTAGTGGCTCCAATCCCAAATCCTACCCTCGTCTGGCTTTTCAAGGCCCGACGCCTTCATGGGCTGAGAACTTGGGTAGGTGGAGCCGTAAGCAGGGTCAACCCTTACCCTACAACGGAGACCGAAGCTTCTACAATCTGAGTGAGGGAGGCTCAGCATACAGAATCCTTCCCATCTTGGTTCGCTGTGTGGCTCACAATGTTGAGCTTGGAACGACATCCATTCAACAAACCGTGGAGCTAAATGTGGACACAAACGCCAATACGGATCGTATTGAGAATCTTGAAGTTACTCACGGGAGAGCTATGAGAGACAATGAGGCTTTACAGCAAGAGCTAGCTGTAACCTGAGCTGAAGTCATGGAGCTCCGAGCACGTCAGACAGTGTATGAACGACACCTCCTTGATGTGGAGCGCCAGCTGGCTAAATTGAGGGTTCATCGGAGGGGTGGCCATCACCAGTAGGAGATGCTCTGCTCATCCTTTCTTTTGGTTTAAGGAATAGCCTTCTTATCTATGCTCTAAGTAGCATTTTTCCCTGTAAATTCCTGTTTATCTTAAGACCTTGAACTTTAAATCTGTTAGGTCTTAGTACTGTCAAAACTTTCTTATTCTGGTTTGATGTAAGACCTACTCCTAGGTCATTTTCCTGAACTTATTACATCTTTAATACCAGTAATATTGACTAACATTAATAAATCGGATCACGAAATCTCAATCGAGAGTGATTATTTCTCAAAATTCATAAGTCTATTTTATATAGACTCTATTATGAGCTACTTTCAAATCTTTTTGAAAGTTGGAACATGATATCCTCCAACCAAAGATAACTTAATTCAAATGACACCCGCCTTGTGACCATTCTAGGAACTTCCTTCTACACCTTATCAGGACTGCATCATAGGGATGTAGGTCGAATCACCGAGGACAGTATAACAAAACGAAAAATTTTTATTCATATAAATGATTAGGATACATCTAGAGCAAACCATAAACACTCACAAACTCATTCCTTATCATGTAACAGAATCATGCCTCTGAAGAAACGTAACCAACCCGCTGGCAAAACACAAATGCTTCAGATGAATACGACTACTTTTCAAGCTGCGGTTACAGTTGCCGTTACGGCTATCATGACTCACCTTAATGCTAACAACGCAAGTGGTAGTGGAATTGTTATCGGCAATCCCAATCCAGGTGATAACCAAGTACAACAACGAGTGCCTACTCGCAACGACACTCCGAACCTCTAAATGAAGAACAAGAAACGGATGTACTGGGATAAGAAGAAGGGTAAATCACCTCAAAAGTTAGCCAATAGACAACAATCAGTGGCAGCCTCTGCGGCCACGACATCCGTTACTCCTACTGCCGTTTCTACTAGTATCCCGGTTGCCCCTACCCCAGCAAGGCAGTGTGCTGGAAATCTACCCAAGTGCAAAAAGTGCAGCTTCCATCACCTGGGAGTCTGCCGAGTGATTCATTGCAAGAACTGCAACAGGAACGGGCACACTACCCGTTTTTGCAGAGTCCCGATCCGGTACATTACTTCGACCACCAATGTTGGAATCAGTCCAATATGCCACCTTTGTGGTGAAATAGGACATTTCAA